AATTGTTTGTGAYAGAACTGCCAAATAAAGTCTGGAATTACCAACTACAATTTTTATTGTTTTCATTTTCCTCTCACTCAGTAAAGGGGTGAAAGAGGTTGGTTATGGTGTCAGGAAACCATCTTATTCATGGATTTGGTAAAAAATAATTTGAAAAAATATAAATGCATAGAAATATTTTAGTTAGCTCAATAAAATGTCAAAATGTAAATCAGATTTGAGTCCTTTCATGGACAAAAAATAGAATCAGTGAAAACTTGAATATWTATTTGTTGAAAGCAGAACATTTGCATCAGTTGTTTTTGTACTTTTSAGTTAATGTGAAAAGGTTGGGTGTTTTGGGAACATATCCATCAGTCCTTTCATGGTTTTGTGGTTGTGTTGTGTCTTGTGTTGGTTTTCTGATTTGTTGTGTCTCTGTATTTGAGCGCGTTGTTTTGTTTCTGATTTGATTCTGTTCTGCTCACAGTTGGACATTTRTACACTGTTACATGGCAACACGTTGCTTTTGTCCATCGCTCGCATGCCGATAAATTCATCAGAGACAAAGTGAAGCTCGGTGTACGAAGGACTTTTGAACAATAGAGAATGTGTGAAAATGTCTGGGGATTGAACTGCTGACCTTCACTATGTGAGACAATAGGAATGGTATTAATAACATGATGCTCAGTGTTTGTTTTCCTCTCTTTATAGGGAGTTTGATYATGTCAGAGCACTTTATGTTCTTTGCTTTAAGAGTTATTTACCATAGTTTTCTTTAACCTTTTTTAAAACTGTCATGATCCTTTGAATAGCAAATGATTTTTGTCTGGCCACCTGAAAATAACGACCTGGTTAGTTGCTAAATTAATTAATTAATTAATTAATTAATTAATTAATTAAAATAAAATGAATAACGTTAATCCGTAAGCATTTCCTGGCTTGTCAGTCTTTTTCTGTCATAGTCTTAGTCAAATTGGCCAATTAAATCTTTTTTATCTGTTTGGTGAAGTCCTAAAACTATAGAAACTATTAAGATTTTTTAATTTTTTTATTTTTTGTGGTGCTTCAGCAGAATTTTTGACATGTTTGACTTGTACATGATTATACTCTGACATAATTCTGTAATGCAGACCATGGACATGCTTCTGATTTTATGATTTGGCGTCTACTTTAGAGGTTTCTATCAATCCACCAAAATTGATTGATTCCTACTAAATAAATGCATCCAATGTAGTTAAAGTTACAAACTGCAGACTCGTGCAGAATAAGACCAGCACGGCGAAAATTTAAACTTCAGACTGCTGCTAACCAACACACCAGCTCCTTCAGTATTAAAATAAGAAATGACTGAAACTCGTTTAAAAATGGGTTTAATTAAGTTAATTAAAATGTTTGTGAGAACTGATCTAGTGACTTGAATTGATTTACGTTAAAATCACAGTGAGTATATGAAATGATCTTTTTATTGACATTGGCTGAATGAACCAGACTGTTCTCAGTCCACATATTCTCCTGATACATATTAAAGGACTTCACTTATTCACTGCTCGCCCCGAGTAAACAGTCTGGGCCGACTGAGGTGGTATGGCAGTGTGGGAAATGTTTTATTTGTGGTCCACTTTGGGCTGCTCTAGCAATGAATTATAGCTTGATTGACACAGTCTTCAGTCTGGCTTGTAAAATCTACTCTCAGTATGACAAGAGATCATCCCAATCTATCCCTATACAGTGTGGGTCAAGCCCTAGCTGTTAAGGACTAAACTATAAATAAATAGATTAAGAAAAATAAAATGATACCTAAATATACTCTTAAAACTTATACATTTTTTTACCAGTGGAATTTCTGGTAATTCCTCTACTGATCTACGGTCCCCTGTGTACTATAAAAACTGTGACTTAGTAAATCRAGCCAATAACCTTTTAGGAGAACATTCTGTATTGCTGCTGCAAGCTCTTAGCTGAGCTTCTTTACTGATATAACAGCTTAAARTCTGAAAACCAGACTCTAAATAGCCTTCCATTGCATTTTTCTGTCATCTCTCTTCGTCATCCAGTTCCTGAAAGTTTGCTGTAAGCTCTGAATAAACTGACCTGACCAGATGTTCACTTGACCTGAGAAGGCAGCAGGTCAGGAACATTATAGACATCTGCAAATCCCTCAAGTCCTCTTTGGTGACTTGTATTGAAATGTCACACTAAACATATACAGTAACTGCGATGTGAAATGATGTCTTCATTTTTTTCTCAGTCTTTGGTGTGTCTGTCTTCTGGTTCAACTCAGACATTTTGTTCCATGCCAGTCTGTTCTCACCATTTTCTGCAGAGGTTGCCTTTCTGGGGGAGTTTGGCATGACTGTGTTTTAAAGGCATCCCAGTTAAGAGATGGTACCAAGGTACCAGAAGAGGAGGAACTCTTACTGAAACAGAATAGTGCAGGCAGACTGTCGGCCGCAGAGATGACAGCGCCTGCAGCATAAAGCAGGAGAAAGGGAAGACTTATTTCTAGCAGAATCAGATCAGAATCAGTTTTATTGCCATTGTCAGTGATAAACACAGACTAGGAACTTGCAGTTAAGAACACCCRTTCTTATTACACACACACAAACATTGGGTAGAACGGATGTTCAGTTCATTTGCAACATGGTTAAATACTCCGTGCTGGAACCAATCAAAGACCTCCAGAGTCCAAAACAAGTTGTTATCAACCAAAGCACAAATTACCAGAGTTCAGTTCTCTGTCTCCACCCATTGTGGCCTTCAGACTGATCCACCCACGGATGATTCGGGAAGGGAATGGGGAGTTAAGCCTTTGTTTCAGGTGTCATCCAGGGAGTTGATAACTGCCGAGCCAAGGTCAGCAGCTGCAGGGATCCAAAATATAAACATAATTGTTTTGGTACAAGCAGCCTTGATTTTGTCATTGCTTTTAAGTCTGTATCCCTGCGATGGCGAAAATGCCAATGTTCCAAATTTATTACCTCCCCGCCTCCGACTGAAACTTCACCCAGGTGTAATCCTACTCCTCACGGGCACACAGACTGAACTGTGATTCTCGTCACAATCACGTCCAGTTTGGGACTTATATCCCCCAACATCAGAGTCTGTGCCTTTCCCGTACAGGAGACTTGATCCAAGGTTCCTGACAGCTTCTCACAGGTCGAGACTACTGTCAGGATCGCTTTCATATTCCGATAAGCCAGGACTCCTCCACAGCCGATCAGCTGGAATCCAGTTATAATTCCAAATATGTACAAATCTTCCACATCTTCAATGAAAAGTGGGGCCAAACAGATGAGGTTCCACCCCCAAGAACCAGACACTCGCCCGGCTGCCACCATTCCACTGGGACAGCTGCGCTCCCCTCGATCCAATCTCAGTGTGGAAAAAATAGTGTCGACTGCGTTCAGAAATCAGTTGACCAAATCCATAATTCCTTTTGTTTTCGGATGATAGGTATAAGAAAGGCTTGAAAAGTGAAAAAGCTGCAAAGCAGGGAAGAAAGAACAGGTTCGGGAGAGAGAGCAAAAAGTGTCCGACTCCTCTGAAGGCCAAGCAGAAAAAAAAATCAGCAGACTGAGTTGGAAGATGGTTATTTGATGTTATTAAATGATATTTCTTTAACAGCCCACAGGCTCTGAAATGCAAAATAAAGTTGAAACTAAGTTTTTGAAAAAATCCGTAAAATTTGAAAAAAAAATTGAAAAAAATTGGTGAGATTGATCTATACAAATAACATAAAATAACATAAAATCTGTGTAAATTATGGACAATCCATACAACTTGACGTTTGTTTCTTCAGTTAAAAAAACATGCATGCTAGTTACTTGGCTATTCTAAGTTGTCACATGGATTGTGTTGTTTGTTTCTTTGTGGGCCTGTGAGGAACGGGCAGACACGGGTGGGCAATACCAGGTAAATACAAGGCTAGTACCACCAATTGAACAATTTTGTGATTTTGCTTTTAGCTAGTCGCTTATGATAAAACAAACAAAAAATTTAGGCAAAGTTTTTACTAACTAACTACAACAATACAATAGTAGAATGAAATAATCCCCCTATAATGTTTTGTTACACATAATTTGTCAAAGAAAAAAATTACCAGTGCAACATAACAAAAAAAACAACAATGTAACACAATTATAAATATCAACATCACAATGTCAACAACACAACAAAAGAATACATTCCACTGCACACAGGAACAACGAAAAGGAGAGGTTTTGGCTAATTAACACCAAATGATTGGGAGACTTTGCAGTACTGACTTTTTTTCCTTTTTTGGAAAACAAAGTTAGAAGAAAATAAAGTCTAAAACAAGGATCAGTGTCATCACACTAGTATCGATCTTGATTTATTTATTTCCTTTATTTAACCAGGAAAGTCCCATTGAGATTAAAAACCTCTTTTTCAAGGGAGTCCTGGCCAAGAGGCAGCAAAAAGTATACATTTACATAAAAATTACACAATTAAAACACAATACAAACAATCACTAATAAAAACATTGACAGTTCAAAGACGTAGTCTCTAATGCCCTCAATCTGGACTTAAAGG